AAATTGACGCGATACAGGATGTAAACTGACACGTCACAGGATGTAAACTGACACGTTACAGGTTGTACACTGACGGGTCACAGTATGTAAACTGACCCATCACAGGATGTAAACTGACAGGTCACAGTGTGTAAAAAGACAGGTCACAAGATGTAAACTGACACGTCACAGGATGTAAAGTGACACGTCACAGAATGTAAACTGACAGGTCACAGTGTGTAAAAAGACAGGGCAGAAAATGTAAACTGACACGTCACAAGATGTAAAGTGACAGGTCACAGGATGTAAAGTGACAGGTCACAGTGTGCAAAAAGACTGGTCACAGTGTGTAAAAAGACTGGTCACAAGATGTAAACTGACACATCACAGGATGTAAAGTGACAAGTCACAGGATGTAAACTGACAGGTGTAGTGAACTTGACCTGATGTCAAAACTAAGCCTAAGGTCAAAACCCTTGACCTTAAGAACCTTGTGGGACAGAAACTGTCATTTCATTGATTTGAATCCAGAAATACAGGTTCACCCATCCTGAGACTTTCTTTCTTGAAAATCAAGTGAAAGAACACTCTTTTTTTATTATCATTACTATTTTACAAATGTTGATAATCAAAGTGTTTTAGTTCAAACCATTTTAGATGTTGCAGTGAACTAATCAATTTTATTAACTGTAAAACAGTAACAATGATTTTTTAGTTGCTTATGCAAAGTAGAATTCATGTTAAGTCTGTTACAGATTTTTATGCATTTTCTGATTTCTGTCTTTGAATGAGCAAGTGTGCGTTTTCCAAGGTCAGGAGTCGAAGCAGACATGTGTTGGAACAACTGTCTTGTTTTACATCCTCTCAGACGTCAACAGAGGAGTTGGCACCTGTTTCTCCAAGCTCGCCCAAATATTTCTCTCTCTGTCTCTGAGAACATTTTAATCTGTTCCATAACAATTCTTGCTGTTTTCTGACTTCTAGTAACCTCTTACGTCACAAACCACACCCCTGTCTGGTCGACACTGACCAATCAGGAACTCTCAAATATACCGGAAATAGAGCTCTTTAAAATGCCGGTACTTCCTAGTTCTCTCAGGGCGGAGAAGCTCTGTGATGATCGCAGCTCCAGTCGTTTGGGAGAACAGAAGTCCAGTCATGATAAGGCTCTTCCGAGTTTTATGGGATTATAATACTTCCACCTCTGGGTGGAACTCTGACGGACTCCACTCATGTGAAGTCCACTTGCTGAGGTGAGCTTGTGTCAGACGGGATATCGTCACTACTTCGGACGGGTCACAGCCATCCTATGGAGACGCTGGACAGGTAGCGTTAACTGGAACTCCGTATCTGCTGATTCATCTTCAGAAAGGTAACGAGTCAAGTTTACTACCGAGCGTACCGAGGAAAAGCTGGGTTCGAATGGAGAGTGTCGGTTCTGGTCAACACTCCCCCTCACACACCATCTTTTACTCCCTTTAAACTCCATCTTTCCATCTTTAAATTCTTCTCTCAAGTAGAAATCATTCCAGATATTTTAGAAATGTCTGTGTAAAGTTTCAACCATCGCCGTATGGTTTTCTAAGTGTACAGCTGCTGATTAATTATGTTGTTAATTTCATATTTTGCCAAATTAATGTAAATGTTTGATGTTAAACTTTGATTCTGTAAATAAATGGCCGCATTCATTTTGATGGGTCAAAGATAAATGACATCTCACGTCCACATTTTATTAAATTCAATGCACGTTATATTCAGTCCAGAAAAATGAAGAACCCGTTTTAATTGATGAATATATCTCAGCATCTGTTCATCTACACAGGTCACAGTGTGTAAAAAGACTGGTCACAAGATGTAAACTGACACGCCACAGGATGTAAACTGACACGTCACAGGATGTAAAGTGACAGGTCACAGGATGTAAAGTGACAGGTCACAGGATGTAATGTGACAGGTCACAGTGTGTAAAAAGACTGGTCACAAGATGTAAACTGATACATCACAGGATGTAAAGTGACAGGTCACAGGATGTAAAGTGACAGGTCACAGGATGTAAAGTGACAGGTCACAGTGTGTAAAAAGACTGGTCACAAGATGTAAACTGACACATCACAGGATGTAAAGTGACAGGTCACAGGATGTAAACTGACAGGTCACAGTGTGTAAAAAGACTGGTCACAAGATGTAAACTGACAAGCCACAGGATGTAAACTGACACGTCACAGGATGTAAAGTGACACGTCACAGGATGTAAAGTGACAGGTCACAAGATGTAAACTGACACATCACAGGATGTAAAGTGACAGGTCACAGGATGTAAACTGACAAGTCACAGTGTGTAAAGGATGTAAAGTGACAGGTCACAGGATGTAAAGTGACAGGTCACAGGATGTAAACTGACAGGTCACAGGATGTAAAGTGACACGTCACAGGATGTAAACTGAAACGTCACAGGATGTAAAGTGACACGTCACAGGATGTAAACTGACAGGTCACAGTGTGTAAAAAGACAGGTCACAAGATGTAAACTGACACGTCACAGGAAGTAAACTGACAAATCACAGGAAGTAAACTGACACGTCACAAGATGTAAACTGACACGTCACAGGATGTAAAGTGACAGGTCACAGGATGTAAAGTGACAGGTGACAGGAAGTACACTGACAGGTCACAAGATGTAAAGTGACAGGTCACAGGAAGTAAACTGACAGGTCACAGGATGTAAAGTGACACATCACAGGATGTACACTGAAAGGTCACAGTATGTACACTGACAGGTCACAGGATGTACACTGACAGGTCACAGGATGTAAACTGACACGTCACAGGATGTAAACTGACACGTCACAGTATGTAAACTGACACGTCACAGGATGTAAACTGACACGTCACAGTATGTAAACTGACACGTCACAGGATGTAAACTGACACGTCACAGGATGTAAACTGACACGTCA